TATATATACAATCTAAAACAAAACTTTGGTAAAGTCGTGTACTGTAGCTTGTTTTCATTTTGTTCTAACACTTGATCAGTTGTTTTTAAGTCACTGTAATTGCAAGTTCTTCGACTTTCTTTGAGGATTGATTTGTGCTGTTTTTTTTTGGATTGTGATACAACTACGGAATTTGAACAACCTTTGTGAATTCATCTGACGAGAAAGGACTCTGTTAGATATCTACAAATGTACTGTAAGTTACGCGTTTTAATCGAAAGTCGAAATATATATATATATATATTTTATTTTGGTCAAACTTCTTTAAAATATTTGTGTTTTTTTTTTTTTTTCAATACATATACATTTATCTATCCATTTATCAATCTATCGAATACTTTTCTATTTCATATTAATTATTTATTAATCTTTAACATATAAATCTTTATCCTAAAACGATTAATCGTTTCTCTTGGAAAGTTCGGTCTCTTGTGATCTCTTGGAATGCGTGATATTTTCTTTGTTCAATTTTTACCATTTGAATAAAAGTAATAGATAATATTCACGGGCACGATTTTACTTGACTGAAAGAAGTTTATCGTCCACCTTAAAAATGGTTAGATCAGTACAAATGATGCGTCCTAAGGAAGTTTAAAATTCTTCCAAGACCACCTTTTAAACCACCAACTCTGCTTACTCTTCTTCTTCTTCTTCTTTCTTGTCCTTTACGTTACTACATTTTTTCTTCTTTTCTTCAAATCATCGTCAGAAAAATATGATAGAATCACGGTGGCAGTATTTCTTTTTCCCTTTTTGTATTCTTCTCTCCCTTTCCCTTCCCTAGTCTCCTTTTTTTTCACCCTTCATTCTATTTTGGTGAAATAGTTCCAGCCAGAGGTGTGCAACCTTATTTTAACAACGGGTCTATTTAAATTTTGAAATTTTTTCACGGCCCAAAATCGCACTTTTTAGTAGCATTTTAAATTGTATTCATATTATAAATACGAAATGTGAACAAAAAAAAAATAGATTACATACCAAAAATATATTAGCGAGAGAATATCTGTAATATAAATAAACGTTTAGTGGGCCGCAGGTTGGTAACCCCTGGCCTTCATATATAGGGTGTTTAATATCAATGCACAATATATATATATATATTATATTATATAATATTAATATAATTTATTATTTTGTTAATATATATATATTAAATATATGTGCCCATAATTATAAAAGTAGTCTCTAAAAGTTGAAATTAAAAAAAAAAAACATAATAAACAAAAAATATGTATTTATGAAACACCTTGTATATTAGAAATATCTCATACTTTTTCCACGATTCTATTTTATTCTTCGAAATTTCAAAAATTCTATTTGACAGTATGAATAATTCATTTTATTTTATTTTATTTGTCTTTTTTTTTTTTTATCTCTCTTCTTATCAATCATATTATTCATTTTGTATATTTATACAAAAAAAAAAAAAAAAAAAAATTATGCATATCGTAACATTTCAACTAACAGTAATATTATGTCTGTTACAATTATTGATAATGTTTTAAAATAAATGAATCGTTCTTCAAAATTAGAACCCTTAACGAACTAGTTTTAAAATACATATATAATTAGATAAAAGTATAGAATAATTATTAACAACAATATATATATATATATAACAATCGTTTAATCTTGTAAAAGATCATTCGCACTTCTTTTCTTTTTGTTTTTTTTTTTTTCACCTGTATTCCTTCTTCAATTCACAATAATTCAATTGAGTAGGTAGGTAGTAAGTACTAGAGAAGTAGATTTTATTTTGAGTACAAAAGCCGAAACCGGGTGTTTGTATGCACGCCGGAAGAAGAGCGCAACAATGCCGGAGGCAACCGATAAGAGTACTACATCCAAGCAAGACCAATTGCCCTTTGCTGTTTCTCATCCTCCATCTTCTTACATCTACGTCTTATTCCTCTTGTTGTGTATTATATCGAGCAAACCAACAAACCAAACACCATGTGGACTTTTTAGATCAACCAACTAGACACCAGTTAAACTAACTCCTAAAAAAGTCACTTTAATATAAATACACGAATAAAAAGTATACTAATTTTTTTATTTTTTTATTTTTTTTTTATTTTTACATTCGATATCACCACACTTTTATTTAAGTGAAAACTTCTTTAGAATGGGTGTAATTTGACAAAATGAAACAGTAAATTGCCAAATAACTTAAGAATTTGGCATGTTGAATTCTTGCAATTGTATTTCAAGACAAAGATTTCTAAGTTTTGAAAAGAATAATATTTTATTAAACAAAGACTCTTGTTCGAATACAAACATTTTATAAGAGTAACGGTCCGAGCAGAAGTGAGCATCGGAAGATATTTTTAACGGAAATCTTATTGGTGGAAGCAGCAGTCTCACTGTGGGGCGTTTCTATATTCGGTATTGGCATAAATCTCTAGCGTATGAATATCCGATTTAATAACTAACTAAAAATTAGAAGATTACATTGGTTGAAATGAACCCCTCTACATTAGGCATTTGTCAAATTGTCAATAGATTTCCTTAAAAACAGGTTTTTAAACAAACAAAAGAATATACCTGAGCATAGACCTTCTTCACGTTGAACGAGACAACTCACCGCAGTTTCCAACGGTCCCCGGAAGACCTAAATAGTGATATGTAGTAATATTATTTTTGTGATTAATTATATTTTAAGGTAACAATTTCGTTCAACGATGTCATATATTGCGTATATAAAATGCGAAATTAAAAGTTTGTAATAATTATTCAAAAAGTATAGTTAATAGTGTTAGAGAATCAAGAACAGTAAAGATGGCGGATAACTCATTTGCAGGATATTACATTGGGATTACATGGAATACGAAGGTAATAATATATTGTAACACTTAAAAGACGGGCCCCGGAAATTTACGTTTTTCACTAGTAGAAGTTACTAGAACGGGCCACGTGAATCTACTTTCCGTTCTAACTTTCCAGAATCGACCACGTGGTTCTACATGTTTCCATGAATTTGTAGTATGTTGCATTAGGGTTTTCTTTTTTTTTTGCACATTGTTATTTTTTCATGATATCATCAGTTACAGGTATAAATACCGTTATAAAATATTATAAGAAATATAATTTATTGAATAAAACTATAACACTTTCAATCCATACATTTCATGTTGATCTAATTAACCTAAAAAACGTTCGTTAAGTGTTAATATTGTTGAAAATAATTTTATGACTGGCAAAAAGACACCATCAGAAATCCCGACAATTGTGGGCTTCAGACAGAGTGAAATAATGATGATGAAATATATATATATATATATTAGGTCAAAAATATTTCATTTTAATGTTGTTTTGATAGTTTATAGGTGTATATTTTAATTAATTATATTATTTATTGCCCGAGATATAATAAATCAAAATTTCGATCTCAAATCAGACATTTTATACTTAATGACCTAATATATATATAATAGTTTATTAAATTATAATGATGAAGAGTGGTACTTACATAAGTTTACATAAAGTGACGTGGTTACAAAAATACAGAATACAAAAGAGTTACAAATATAACACCGACTGACTGATTTACAGAATAACAGATAACTGACTAATGAAACTTTCTTATTTCTTTTCACATATTGATTAGAATGAGTAAAAAATGAATTCTCCTTTGGAGAGGGGATGAATGAATCTATTTGACCAATAGCAGCATAAGGATCCACCCCATAGTCCACTAGTGAGTAAAGCCTATGATTGTTGGTAACGGAATCTAGGCATAAAGAAACTAGTTCTAAAATATCGGTATGCTATTTCTTTTTATGGTATTGTACGTGCTTAGATATGAATGTGAACCTTGACACTGCACAAAGGGTTTTTTTTCGCACCAATATATCTCGATAATTCTTAAGTTTATTTATGATCTTATGGGCCCTCCTAAAGAATTTCTTTTAGTCTCTAAATAGAGTTTTCTTTTCGGAAAATAAAATATAAAGAAAAGAAGTAAATACTAGTTTTTCATTTACAACAAGGGTGGGTCGTCGGCAACCTTTTCAGTCGGAAGAATCAAATAATTAGTAAATATAGAAAATTTCAAAGTTTTTCAAGAGTCACCAAAATTTTGTTCTTGCCAACAATAAATAGTGCTCGTATAAATGAAGTTTTTTTGATAAAAAAAAAAAAAAAAAAAAATAATAATCTATTTATTCATCGTGTGCCTAATCCTCGTGTTAATCGATTCCGAACGATTTTTAAATGTTTTTTTTTTTTTCTTTTCTTTTCCCTGTTGTTTCTTTTTTCTTTTTTTTCTTTTTAGTAAACTAAATATTTGCGTATGGAACTAAAGAGCCTCGCAGGTTCACATCGAAAGAGCCGCCTGTGGCTCGTGAGCCGCAGGTACATCAACGGATGGGACAGCCGTAGCGAAAGGGTTAACCTCGTAAAAGTCATACCGATTAAGATGGGCCTGTCACGTGGTGCACTTGGGGAAGGATCGAACACAATCGATGGATCGGTGAACAAAATATTGATCGGTGGTATACCGATGAACGAGAAAAGACCACTAATTAAATCGAGACGTAGATGGAAGGACAATATTAAAAGGGATCTGAAAAAAAAAATGGAATACGATACCGCGAATGCAAGGATCCCCCGCTCAGAGATGGAAACAATGACGAGATTTCGTATTTGCGGCAATGAACTTTCGAATTTCTAATGTCAATTAATAATAATCAAATGGTATATATGAGATAGAAATTTTGAATAAAAATAATCCGACCAGTCCAAATGACTGGTTTGGGTATATCAAATGTTCAAAACAATGGTTATCATTAAAAGAAAGAAAAATGAAAAATAATTATTCTTCTTACATTTATCCTTCCTTTCTAGATCACAAAACGGAATATATGTAAATAAAATATATACTTGGTAATTAGAAGTTATCTATCCTATACATTTATATGCGTGTACAGTCACTATACTTGTTTATGTTTTTTCCTACTACATAAATCGAGATATACTTTTCTTTTCTTTTTTTTTTTTTTTCTTTTTTTTCTTCTTCTTCTTCTTTCATATCGTTATTAGTTGAAACATGAAAAGTTAGAATGCGGTAAGAAGCCGGTAGGTAGGTAAGGTAGGTAATTAAAAAAAAAAAAAAATAAACCACCTTTAAACTCGAAGTGTATTCGAACGGAAATAAAAGATTAGACGTTTGAACGTTGTGTCGACGATTAGTTGAGATGCAACGATTAGTATAGTAGCATTAGTATACTTAGCAATATTCTAATAAACGACGGAAGTGTCTAACACCGCGTTAAGAACTTTTTTCTTTTTTCTTGCAAACCGGCTTATCGTTACTTCATTTTTTTTGACTTCATCATTATAACTATTATTATTATTATTATTATTAGTAATAGTAGTAGTAGTAGTAGTAGTAGAAGTAGTAATATTTTTATTCTTTTATTATTTTTCTATTTAATTTGATGAAAGAAAAGTATATTATTGCAGACAAAAAGAAAAAAGGTGAAAGAAAGAAGGAATGAAGGACGTAACGAAGCCGAGAGAAAGTTGACCAACCGGTAGAAATGAAGGTGGTGGGGAAAGGGTGGGGGAAAGTAGAGAGAGGGTTGGGAGGGGAGTAGAGGGGCATTCAAGTATGGTGAACAGTTATCAAAAACCGACCTTCACCGCGAAATCAGTATACCTATCTATTTTCGTGGAAGCAAACATGCTAACGGATGAGATATATATATATCAATAAATTCATATGTTGAATGTTGAAATATAATTGAAATATATTTTGAATGAATAATTGAAATGAAATATAATTCAATATTATATATTATTACTATTATTATTATTTATTATTTATATAAATATATAATATTATAATATTTAATTATATTAAAATATTAAAATATATATTTATAATATATATATATAATATTTATTTAAAATATATATTATAATATTATAATAATATAATTATGTATTATAATATAAAAATATAATTATATATTTAATAAATTAAATTAATTAATTAATTATAATATAATATATTATATATTATATTATATACTATATTATTATATTATAATTAATGTAATATATGCATATAATTGTTGATTTTAAAAATAATCCGAGAATTTGTAAACACATCAAAGTAGTAATTTTGTTTTTGTTCAACCCAGTATAATAATAATAATATCTATCCCTTTAATAATATAATAATATTATTCCGGTAATAGTCTTTTTTTGGATGATAAATTATCGTTCAAGTCAAAATTGCAGGGGGAAGAAAAAATACAAACAAATTTCGGATTTGAATTTTTGTAAATTTTTTTTTTTTTTTTTTAAACGATTCGAAATGAGCATTTCGTCGATACGACGCAAAATCGTATAATCGTGATCTTATCGCTTGTAAGCCAGTTCAAGAGTATAACCTTCGGATAAGGTTGCTAGCTACTGCTAGCTATAGCAAATATGATCAAATAATCTTTAAGGGGAGAACTTGATGAAAAATCAGACTTTTTGATTTTTATTTTATACAGCAACATTATTTTTTCTTTTTTTTTTTCTTTTTTTTTTTACACATTACTACCTTTCCATATCCTCATTTCAACTTCATTGTATTTATATTAACAAAACAAAACACCTTTCTCAAAAAAAGAAAGAAAAAGTTATGAATTTTTAAAGATCATTCATCTTATAACTTTTAGAACTTTTGGCCCGTCTAGGAAACTGTTTTATTTATTTTTTTTTTTTTTTTGAGA